GCATTGGGGAGAACGTGTTGAGATCCTTGGTCAGGGCCTCCCACGGGTTTTTTTGCGATTTTTACCACGGCCAAGAGGGCCAGAAGGAGGACTTGTGGGGCTTTATCTGAGGTGCCATACTCGTTTGGCTCCGGTTCAGGATTTTTGGGCTTTGGTACAGCAAAGCACCCCGAGCCCTGCAAACTCATTCCAGAGTTTCCCCTGAACCCGAAACCCCATACCCCGGCTTGAGATCTGCATTCAAAGTTCGAGGTGCGAGTAACTGTATAGAGAGAGGGATAAGCTAGATAGATAGATAGATAGATACATAGATGCATAGATAGATACATAGATGGACAGATACGTAGGCAGATACACAGGTAGATAGATAGATAGATAGATAGATAATTAGAGTAGATACATAGATAGATAGGTAGGTAGATAGATACATAGAGAAATAGAGAGATAGATAAATAGATAGATAGACACATAGACGGGTAGATAAATAGATAGATGTGTGCGTATATCATATATATATATACACATATATATGTATATATGTATTGATATAGATACAGGTACAGATGTAGATAAAGATGTAGATACACACATAGATGTATGTATAAATACAGACCGAGACACAGACACAGAGATAAAATTCTGATACAAATATAGATATCGGTATAGACACCGATATAGATGTAGGTATATATGCATATGCACCTATACTTGTGTATACATATACATATATATATATATACATGGCTGGATGGATGGTGTATGTGTGGATGTACGTATCTATCTATCTCTCTATCTATCGATCTATCTATTTATCTATCTATCTATCTATCTATGTACCTATCTACCTATCTTTGTATCTGCCTACGTATCTATCTATCTATCTGTCTATGTGTCTCTCTGTGTATATTATATATGCATGTAAATGTGTGCTATTGCCTGTTATGTGTATAAGTATGTGTGTGTGTGTATGTATGCATGCATGCATGCATGCATGCATGCATGCATGCATGCATGCATGCATGCATGCATGCGTGGATGCATGGATGTATGTATGTACGTATGCATGTATGTATGTATGTATGTATGTCTGTATGTATATGTATGTATGTACGTACGTACGTACGTACGTATGTATGTATGTATGTATGTATGCACGTGCGTATGTATGTTCGTTTGTTTGTCTGTACAGTATGTACAGCATGGGTTGGATTGGGTTGGTGGGTGAGTGGCCGGCGGGCGGGCGGCGGGCGGTGGGCGGGCCGGCGGGTGGGTGGGCGGGTGGCATGGGTGGATGGATGGATGCACGGCCCGTGGTATGGGTGTATGTGTGTATATATATATATATGTGTGCAAAAAAAAAATATATATATATATATGTATATGTGTGTGTGCATATATACATATATGTTTGTTTAGAAATACACATATTGTATACATTTGTCATGGTACACATAATTTCTCACATACACCTGCATTCAGGACCTCGGGCTTGGTGTGTGAGAGTTTATGTTCGAGGCTTCTCGGGCATGTGCTACAATGCTGCCTCAAGGCCTGATTAATCACGCTTTCCCCCCCCCCCCGTTTCAAGTCCTTCATCCTGCAACAAGAACCCTAAACCCCGAAACCCTAAACCCTAAACCCTAAAACCCTAAACCCTAAAACCCATAAAATCCAGAAAGCCCGAAAGGACCTCTCCAGCCCTGCACTCAGCCTTGCAAAGTAGACTTAAAGACGCTCTGAGGTGAACCAAGCCCGAAATACAACATTCAACCGCATGTGGAGACAGGGTTTGCAAGGGTTCTTCTAGGAGGGCTTCGTAAAGTTTGTAAGCTTCCATTGATGGGTTCAGGCTCTTGGGACTTCGCAACCCCTAAACCCTTAACCCCTTTCTTGACGGACTTGACTCTCCGACTCTCGGTGCACCACCCGGGCTCGAAGTGCTGACCATTCTCCTCATATTCATAGTATCAAAACAATATTAATAAATAACAATCGTAATCAGAATAACCATAATAATAAGGATAATAATACTGAGAATAATCGAAGGCAGAGCTAAACAATGCCATAGCCCCCCTCCGGAATGGTGCTAGTTTCGACCGAAAGCGCTTTCGGCGGCAGTCCCGAGCAGGTGTCTTTCCCCGCATCGTGCAAGACTTCAGTGCTCTGCCATTCCTCGAACATTGTGTGCTCGCAATAGAATGTGCATTTTGAGGTGGAGACACGGCTCCTGCCAATCCAGGGCATTCCCACACGCGTTCGCTGCTTCAGGCCGCTCGAAGGCTCCGAGCAGAAGTCACCGAGTGGCGACCAAAACAAGAGCAGCACAATAGCAGGAGCGTGACTCGCCAACAGTCTTTTCAGAGCATTCGCTTTTGGGCTGAAGAACACGAGGCCCCAAAAAAGACCTGAGATGGTAAAGCCAATGCGTCAGCAGAGCTGCCTCGGGAGCACGATGTTTCACCCCAAACTGGGCACGGCAGGGCGGCGAATACTCGGTTTTGCGAAGTGGGGTTTCGCGCGAATATAACGGCCTTCATAAATAGAATAGGGTTTTGGGCTCCTTCATAGTAAACACCATAAAGATAAGGAGCCCTAGGGAATGGTGTTGGTGCTTCTTTAGGCTTCTTTCCGAGGAAAACACGGCCCCAGAACTGAAACTGAGCCCTAAGCCCGAAACGACCCTAATCTAAACCCTAAACCCTAAACCCATGACCTAAAGCCTGCAACCCCCTTTACACCTGACATCGGAACACCGTAAACCTACCTACGCTGCTATTAGGGTTTAGGCTTTTAGGGTTTTGGGTTTAGGGTTACGGGTGCTTGTGTGTATCTACTACCAGTTACTTCCATTGTCAGTGTTGTTGCCAGCATCACTGTCATCGCTGATTTTGCAGATACCATGCATGATGAACATCTTGACAGATTGCCGCTGTGACTAGCAAGACTGCAGCCCTTGTGAGTCGAGACTGCTGCAGCTCAGTCATGACTCCTTTGCATCCACCGGCAGGTACTCGATTTGAACCTGCACTGCAGTGTCGGAAAGTTGGGAACATCAACACCGTGACCTCCGCACTTCTTCGCGGTTTAGGGTTTAGGGGTTTAGGGTTTAGGGGTTTAGGATTTAGGGTTTAGGGCTCTCTTGACATCCCCACGCTGAACAGCCTTGTCGTTGCGACTTACTGGTCGTTGTGGTGATTGTTGACCATCGAAACTGCTTTGCCGCTATGACACTCAAGGGAAACGAGTTCAGTACCCAAACCGCGTTGCATAAATGAAGGGGCCTTAATAATAATAGTAGTTAAAGCAGGGTATTGAGCTCTTTTCTTATATAATATACAAAGGAACCCTAAGGAATAATATTGGTAATTATTAAGGCTTCTATATTACCTGATTTACGTGATCCTCGATAAGGAGCACAGATCTTGCTCAGGATCCAATTGCAACTCCATACTGGCCGCTCCAGAAAACTGCTTGACCAGCGCCCTCACGGTAAGACAAGGCAGCTCAGCGATAAACCCTAAACCCTAAGATTACAAGAACATCAAAAACTCATGAGCAGCTCTTGACACATAGCAAACAGTACCAAACAACCAAAAACCAGAAAAAAAAAAAAACGGATGGATGCTCCAGAAAACCCTCAAAAGCGCTCCGACAGTTCGGGTTCCACCTGCTCCATGAGCTCCTGCATACACTCCACCCATTTGTTTTGGTACCTGACGGAAAGGTCATTAGATTTAAGGTTTAGGGTTTAGGGATCAGTTAAATTAGGAGTAGAGTTTTTGTCTTTTGATCTTTTTTGGGTCTGCTCGACGTCTCAAGCAAACCCAAGTGGGAGGGTTTAACGTGTAGTGCGTGAAGCCTGCCATTCCGAGGTGCTTGAGAAGATTAGATTAGCCCCTGCGATCAGGATGAACGCGTGTACGTCAGGCTGCTTTTTGCAGACAAAAGCTTCGAGGCACGCGTCGTCTGCTAGGGCTTTTGAAGCCCTAATCCCTAAACCCTAAACGTTGTTAGTCTTGAGACTGATTGTGCTATAGGCATCCTTTAGCTTCATCTTTGGGTTCACGAATGTAGGGTTAAGGGCTTAGGCCTTAAGGTTTAGGGCTTCGGGTTTAGACGAGGTTTGGGGTTCGGGACTTAGGATTTCAGATGTTGGAGCTGTGGAGGTGCGCTTTTGAGTTCGGGCCTCGGGGCCTGATTTAGATGGTTAAGGTTTCGGGGGAGGGATTAGGGTTTAGGGTTTAGGGCTTAGGGATTCTAGATCAAGTCGGGAAGAGCTCATGCCACCGCAGGAGCACGTTGCATGCGACATGATGTCGACCTCAGCAAGCGAACATCAAGAACCTTGGGTGGGAAGACTACCATATGAAAAGCTGCGAAAACAACGGGACCCCAATATATTGTCATCACACGAGCACATGGCCCCGATCTGCACTTGAGGGATCAAACATGTGGAACATGTCAAAGGTGCTCACACTTAAGGCTCTCGCGAATGCAGATTCCAATTGGCGCGAACTTGGCTCTGCCGCAGCAGCAGATCCTATATTTCCTTGTACGTCTATGTGCATAACCCAAGTAAGTTCTTGTCACTCATGCGACGGTGTGCACACCCGAGTATCAGCCCTTGGCCGTGCTAGGTGCAGGTTTCATGCCGATGTCGATTGAAACAGGTCTAGATTCCCACTTTCTTTCGCCACAACAGATGTCCATGCTATTAAGCAAAGCCGGACGAGCCGCAACGGCAGCGATACAGACTGCTGCTTCGTGTTTGTGAAGGTCGTATTGATTAAGAACCGTGCACATAACAGCAGCAGCAGCACGGCCCTCCCTGGGGAGAATGAAAGGCAAACGAGGGATACTTGGTTCAGTTGATCCCTGGTATCATTCCCACGAAAGCCGCTTGCACTTCGCAACTGGTGACAGCGTGACAGCTGAAAGCGATGCACAACAGACTAACGGCTGACACCTCGCTTGACCACCGGTGCTTCAATCGCTTCAGCTCACAGATTTGGTGGGCACGAGAAAAGCAGTGCATTGCGAGCGTCAAGGCTCACACCCGGCGCGACATCCGCGGCAGCATTCTGTAGGAGCGGCAGAAGAGCTCCCTTTCTGGTCCTGTCATTCGCGCACAGAGTAGCCGCGGCCTTCACGATTCTCAGGCGAGTCCTCAACTTACCACTTGTGGCCGCGTGTTTGAGAATAGGCAGCACTGCACCGAAGTGTTGATATGCGAGGCCTTCCAACACCATCACAGCTGTAGCAACGGCACGCTCATCTGCGATGCCGCTTTCCAGGATCAGTTTCGACTTTGAGCCACGCCAGATGGATTCAGCGTCTTCCCTCAGGACCTTCTTCACTGTCTCGAGCACCAGTTCTAGCCTTGTCTTGTCATTCTTGTCGGGGCTCGTCAAGTTAACGAAAGTCTGCGCCACTGCCCCACGCACCTCCTGGCTGGAGTCGCTCATGGCCATCCACAGACATGTCTGCACCGACGGAAGGTCGGAGGGCTGTCGAGAGAGGACGCCTAAGGCCTGAACAGCTTTCAAGCGAGTCCTGGGTTGCTGTTAAGAAACGTAAACTAAGTTGCTATAGTAAGGAAACCTGAAAGTTACTAGAATAAAAAGAAACCGTATCTTCTACTATATCTATATATATATATATCCCCATTAGGGTAACGTAAATGAAGTTCCTTAGCCGCAATCCAGAGTCTCGTCGCGAGGTGCAGACAGAAGTAGTCGGAGAGTTGGAAGATCCGGCTCTCCTTTTACGGTCTTGTTAAGGGATTTAGGGTTTAGGGTTTAGGGATTTGATTTAAGTTACTATAATAAGGAAACCATATTTTTTTCTATAGATCTCTATTTATGGTAGCTTAAATTAAATCCCTTAACAAGAACCCAGTCTCCTGTCCAATCCCAATCGCTCAATAGTTCCCAAGCCTTTTGGACGTGCTGATCCGATGAATGGCTCGTCATCCTCCGGTTGACGAAGTCTTCCAGCATACGACCCGGGAACATGAGGACTAAATCGGGGAGAACCACCGCCACTTGAGGCCCGTGCTGTTGCAGAGTTCCGTCAAGCCCCTTGATCTGCTCGGCTCGACTGAGCCTGGGTTCGAGGGTTCAGGGCTTAGTGGTTTGGTGTCTAGGCTTCAGGGGTGTTGTAACGAACTTAGCTCAATCTACGAGCAAAGAGACACACAGCACAACAGTCTGCAAACGCTTTATGACCTCTCTGTTAGGGGAGCTTAAACTCCAGCGACCCATCGAAGCCCTAAGAACCCGTGCATCCTGAACCCTTAAGCCCTAAATCCCCTAAACCCCCAAACCTCCTACATAAATATCACATTTTTTCCTCACATCTACTCCTTCAAACACACAATTCCTACAACGGCCCTGCACCCTAAACCCGAAACCCTAAACCCGAAACCCTAAGCCCGAAACCCTAAGCCCTAAACCCTCAGCCCCAAACCCTAAACCCTGAACCCTAAACCCTAAACCCAAGCAAGGGCCGAGGAGCTCAGAGAGGTCGCGCCAAGCGACCTGGCCTTTTGAGAGGCACTCGTGAAACAGCGGCCGCGTCAGGGCCTTAAGGGGGTTTGGGGTTTAGGGTTCAGGGTTTAGGGTTTAGGGTTCAGGGTTTGGGGTTTAGGGTTCAGGGTTTAGGGTGTTGAAGCTGTGTTTTCGGGGTTTAGGGTTTAGGGTTCCTTGGAAAGGTTGCTAGAAAGGCTCCTACAAGGCTTCCTATACGGGGCTCCTTTAAAGGGAAACCAAGGAAGAACCCAGTACCCTTAAAGGGAACCCTGTCCCAGAGCCCCCGAGTTCCTCTAAAGGGTTTAGGGTTTAAAGTTTAGAGTTTGGGTCCCTTGAAAGGCCCTCTTGAAGGTTTCTACAAGGTCTTGGGGGTCTAGGGCTTTGGGATTGAGGTGATGGAGGAGTTGAGGGTTTTAGGGTTTGGGGCTGCCTTGGGGGCTTAGCGCATCAAGCAGCTCGGGGAGGAGGTGGAATTTGGAGGAAAGGGAGGAGGCGGCCGAGAAAGAGAGCACAGCGCAAGAAGAAGACAGGCAAGAGCTCTCCCGGCAAGAAGCAGAAGAGGCCAAAAAAAAAAAAAGCCTAGGGCCACTCCCCGGCCTGATTGGTGACTTTGCACTCCGGGTCAAGATCGGACCAAGGCTTCGGAAACTGGGAAGCCTGGGAATCCAGGGCTTTGGCCTGGCCCTTCTGAGGAAGCTCTGGGATGTCCACACAGCAGAAGCTCTGAACCGACTCCCAATCGTGGGCTGAGCCCACCTCCTCGATTTTTGCACGGATGAGGGGCATTACGTGGCGACACTTCACGCTCTCATGGGCATTCAGGATCTTCATCCCCCCTTTGGGGGGATGTCTCGCCAGGCCCACCAGCTCGAAGCGGAAAAAGGCAGTTTCCGTCAGTGTCTGCCCTTTCCCAACCAAGGCTTTCTTCAAAAGCACCCGAACACCCAGCTCCTGCGAACTTCTTTCAACCACCGCCTCGGAGGCCGCCCGCCAGATTGGGGCCACCCGCTCCCAGCCACAACTCCCAAACAGTCTGCCTTTCGAGTCCTTCACGCCCTCCATCTCTAGAAGGGATCCAAAGGGTGTTCGAAATGCATCACCCAGGATGTCGTCGTGCAACCTGAGTTCGGGCCGTGCAGTCAAGCCAGAGCAGCTCTCTGTTCTCATCTATGAATAGCTACACAGCGCCACAAAATTGCTGGGTCTCTGAAAGGGCGTCACTATCACGTCTCTAGGACAGTGGCTGTCAAGAAACATGTACAAGCCCAGCTCCTCACACCAAAACCGTCTTGATGCTACATGAGCCCCGCTCCAGAGCAGGAGCCCCTTCTCCCTAAAGGACGCGCGAGCAAACAGAAAGCCAGATGAGGCATCCGGCTGGCCAGTCCACAACGCATCGGAGATGCTTTTCGCCATTTCGGTGGCGCGCACATCCGAGATATAGGTCAACCAGGCGTAGGAGCCGTTCTGAATATCTGGCCGGATTTGCTCGCAAAACTCCTGGCACCGGCTGCAGCTCTTGAAACCGTGTCTCCAAGACTTGCTAGATAGGGTAGTATTAGAGAGGTTGCTCTGCAGGCTCTATGGCATATGGGGCTACAATGCGAGAGTACTCTGGGGACGCAGACATGAATTTCCTGTGGGGCAAACATGTAACAACAGGCCCGCCATCAACACCGCCCAGAATGGTCTAAACGTCCCGCTGAATCCCTCAACTATTCAATGCCTCCGCCACATCAGGACTAGAGCTCCTGGACTCCTACGACTACTACTACTACTACTACTACTACTACGACGACTACGACGACTACGACGACTACGACGACTACGACGACTACGACGACTACGACTGCGACTACGAC